ATAGGAAATGCAACTTACATGCAATGTAATACATTTTTGTATGGTGTGTACTCCCTTGAACATGATTTTTTTTATATACAGCAACCACGCAATCATTGAATTAATTTAAAGTAACAAAATCCAGCAGCTATAAATCACTGCCCTCTGCAGCATCCAAAAGAATATTCAACATCATTAAACACTGCTTATACAATGTTCAGCAGTAACTTTATGGCAAAAGTTTTGCGCGACAATTCTTGTCACGCTCCAGACCAGGTTCACACGTTTTTTCTCCTTATTTTTTATCATCCACGCCTCCTCTGCCTTCAAATGTTCACTGGAGAGTGCACCTGTCTGTATTCGGCAAGTTCCGCAAAGGTGCGATAAATGCTAATTTTGAATTTATCAACAACCCTTTTTTCGCTTCTTCCTCGACTAGCATCACCTTCTTCTACCCTCTACCGTTTTGAGTCAGAAGTGATTGGGAGAATAGCTTAAGTTTATCATAAATATGGAGAATTTTCTATTTTCATATCACGTCCAAACACCTCGTTAGGGACAGAAGAGAGCATTGGGTAGAACTGTATTATGTGCGATTGTAAGTGAGTGGTGGTGCCCTAAGAATCCAAGGTTGAAAGTGATAAAGGAGCCACTGCTACTGCCTTTTCCACTACACTACTCCTGAATGGGTCGAAAAATTTCCCATATTTGATTAGGGAGGGAAGAATATGAAAATCAAAAAGTTAAGTTCCAAGTGGTAGGTACGTTTGTTATTTTCTGACATTGGGAAATGGTAAACCTTTCCTACTTTTGCGACTGTTATGATAGTCGACCGCTGCTCTTACTGCTATGGGTGTTTATCTAGCTCGTGCCTGATGTTGTTTGTGCTTGTGCTTCAGATGAAATCCATCACATGCTATACGGAAAACGTGACGAAAGGAAGACGTGTATAGATGTTTTATTTTTTCAAGCCAACGCAATGTTTGCATCACACAAACCAAAAATGATGTTATTTATTTGTTTTTGTTTATCCTGGAATACACATGACTGATGGTTCTTGTGTTGTTTTTGGATGAGTAAGTTTAGATATAAACTAGAGCTAGGATATTGTTGTTTGTAACACTATTTTCCATTACAGTGTGGATCTAGTCTTAGTATGCACAACGACGGTTGACCTTTCCTTTTCAACGGACAAAGGTGTACAAAAATTCAATGTTTCTACTAAGGATGATAGCTCGTGTGTAACAAATGTTAATGGCCTATATTTTAATAAAAATATATCATTGCCACTTTAGTCCAAATGCCTTCTACGAGCTTCACTTCCGTTCAAACGTTTTTTTTTCACCTTTATAAGACTTTCACTCTATCGAATTGAAACGGCCTTGAATTTTTATCTTCGTTCATCGCTCTTTCCTAAAAGGCCTTTTTTGTCACTTTAACACTCTTAGGGGCTGTTCATTAACTACGTAGATATTTTTTTTTGATTACTGCACCCCCCCCCCTCCCCCTGCGTAGACAATTGCCTATACATAATTTTTAAAATGTGTATAGGCCGAGGATAATTGCCAACTCCCCTAAACTGTCTACGTAGTTTATGAACAGTCTCTTATATCTTCAACAGGCATGATTGTAGTACCGTTGCTAGTTTACGTGTTTAAACAAATCGATTCAAAAGCATGGATCAAGAATGTTTTAAAATAATTTAAATACTCCTGGTGAGCAGTATATGTCGGAAAAACTACTGGAACCCGCATTTCAATCCCCACTCACAACTTAATTCCTGTTCGAAGGTGCAATAAATCGCTACTGACAAGGAAGAAGCGAAGGAAAAACACCGTGGCATTTACAACATCATCTTGCTTCGGAGGATAAGGTACCAAACACAACGTCTTAAGGATCAGTATCACGGGAAGATTTATACTCGCCAGCAAACAGAGCAAACGATACATGTAATGATGTCAATAATCTCTTCGAATTTTTATAGATGTTTTATTTACACCATTTGTCTGTCTCCCCCATGGTAATCATCGGATATTTTCAGTTGTGCCAAGGTTCTTCGGCACTCATCTAAATCTTCTGTCGCCACCCTTAGGATTTCACTTTCTTTCGGAATAAAACCCCCATCCTCCAATCAAACCAGAACAGGCCCAAATCCGAACCAAAAGCATTATTTTCGATAGATACTAGCGGTAGTTCAACATAGAAAACATTCTACTGTATTTGCCCTTACTCGCACATTTCTCTCAACAACCACCAACCACCCATCGCAATTTGTGTATGTTCCTAGTGTCGAGTTATCCCCCTCGGCTCCACCGTAGACACGATAGGATGGAGCGTGTTTTTGCCTCCTTACACCACATATATTTCCAAATTTGTATTCTATTTCTTGTTGTTTTATGTTTATGTGCTGTGTTTATCGTTCCGAAGGAAGGCACCACCAATCCGTGTTCTGTGCGTTTTTTTTGCGCTTAGGCAAGCACTTTTTCCAACCTCATGCGCTCATGCTATGCCATTCGGTACACTTTGCCTGCTCCGCGATGAGCATTCGTTACTCTTCGGTGGGTGCTATAGTTATGATTGAACCAAGCATCCATATCGCCATTTATTGGCGCCTATAATCGAACCTCCCGTAAAATATTTATCAATCAGGAATAAAATTAGCATAACGAAAGCATAAAGATTTTGAGATTTCAGCTGAATGGGATAATACGCCGTCTGCCGTTTGTTCGTTTGCTGAAGAGTGGGGAAGAACGCACAATTCCCAATTCACAGACGAAAGCTTTTTATGATGTGGCAAGGAAAGCAAACATCGATTAAATTTATGCTAACCTCTCGATTGTTGTAAAGTCGCGTCAATAAATAATATATCCCTTGAGGGATGTGATTCAGCATGGTAAAAGTTCTGCATATGAGAATGAAACACTCATTGTAATAACTACTTCTGGTAATGTTTAAGTTAGATGGTTCATCCAGACTTCTTACGTAAACTACCAATGTATGGGTTTGTGCAATGCAGCAAAATAAATGTGACTGGTGTCATTATTCAACTTTGAAGAGCCAACTTTCAACAAATAATTAATAATATTTATCATTTTTTATCTTCTTGTCTTAAGATATTTGAGGCTACCAGACACCGTATATGTTCCGGATGTTATCTCAAATGTGCATATTTTTTGCTGATATTAATTTTGAGTTGTAGGTTGAAAATCAGACATATTTCTTTAAAACTGGGATCTAGGAACAAGTCTACTGCAGACTGAGATATGTTTGGCCCTAGCTCCTGTATTCGACCCACGTGGGAATTGAAGTTAATAACAAAATATCATGGATATATTGGCTCTGCACATCTGTTGTTCAACAGAGCAAGATATATTGAGTAATAATACAAAATTCCTGTTAGAAATCTTCAATTCATTAGCATTAAATTGATTTTTATAATATAGTGGCGCCAGAACTAAACTGAAGGGCGTTAGTAAGATTAGCGAATTTTGACCAGGGGTGGGATATGGCTGTCATATACCAACAATTCGACAGTGAGCATGCATAAGGGCCTAACTGCGATAATCGATTCTCGTCATCGATTTTCTCTTTAAATTGCTACAGCTAAGAGAAGCAATTTACTGACATTTGTCCAATACAGTGCTGTAACAGGTTGTATTGGCTATAAAAGTAACAACAAACGCACCGAGAAATGTTAATCCAAGCGAGTTATTAACAAAAGAGAAAATCGATCATCGCAGCTACGCCCTTATGCATGCTCACTGTCGAATTGTTGGCTACGTCGTATAACTGGTTCCAAACGTTACAAACCATAATAAAGCTACATGGCTTGTTTACGTTTGGAACCAATTTCATACAAGATTGATCAGTAGGCTGATATGCCAGCACGTCATTAGCGACTTTAGATACATTAGTTTTCGAAGCCTTTAGCAACATTAGATTCATTTGGAGACCGGTGATGCCACCGAGAAAACAGTCCAGGACTAGCGGTCTGCTAGCATGTCAAAACATAAGGCCAGGCGCCCACTGATATGGTATCTGCTAGCATGTTAAACATCATCGCCACACGCCATACGACATTGACTTGATATTTTGCCACATCGCCGCCACACTAGTTGGTGCCTGGCTTAGCTTAGCTTGGTGGACGCGTGGCATCTGCAAGCATGTTTAAACATCATGTCGACGTGCGCTACACCACTGGGCGCGGCGGCGTTGTGGCATCATACTACACGTGAATGTCATTTGGTGTGTGGCGAACGTCGACATGCTAGGCCTCCTGCGCCTGGCCTAATTTCTGCATTCGCCTCACGCCACACGATATCGCAATTATGTTTTGACATTTAGTATTGATGCCATATTGCCGCCACATCATTGGGCATCTGGCCCAAAGTGGCCGCCAGAGTGGTGCGTCCACGCGTCAAACTCAAAAGAATCCTATTATTTATTATAAATGCTTGCGTCGGTCGTGTCACTTTGTCGCGTTAAGGCCCACGCACATTGCATCCATTGGTGCGTGGACCTTTACTCTGATTGCACCCTAATAGCGGTAAGCTCCATCGAGGATATAATCCGAATTTTGAAAAAAATCTAGCCTAAATTATAGAGAGAGGATGAAGCATGCAGCATTGATGACATTGAAATTTTCATCGCTGAAGTACCAAACGTCACGCGTATTAGAGCATCTCCACCGTTGCAACTATCTGTGATCATTTCTTGCTACAATTTCACGTGTGTTGGAATAACACGGTGTAGAACAAAGTAAAAAAAAATCCTCATGCACATTAGGGTTAAAAGATACTAACCAATGACATTTCAGACGCGGTATTTGGTGAGATCTATCTGATTATAAATGATTTATTGCTACCGTATTCAGACAGCCACAAAAAATCAACCAGTAACGTTTACTAAACGTATCCTGTGACTTAACTTTCCCCAAGTCCTGTAACACTTATGAGAGGTCGTAGAATTCTCTGCATCTCTCTTAAGTAAGTATTCATCTAACAATCCTTTCCTATTCCTAGCAGCTGCAACGACGTGGTCAGGAAAAAGCAGACTCACTGCCGTGAACTTCGATAATTTGAGCACTAGTCTGACCACTGCTCATATGTATGATTTAAAATCATTAATCAGTTCAAATTTCATTTAGCACAACGGAGTAAAATGAAAAGGACAATTTTCCTTCACATTGTAAAAATTAGTGGTAGGAGTCCAAAAATGACCCGATTTTGTCATCCCCTCTGCGCATCAGACTTTTATCATTCTATAATTTCACATAACCGTAATTTCAAATCTTTCTCATTCATTTCAATGAAGGATGTTTAAGGTATTCTGTGGTGCAATAAGACCACTTAAAAAGCGCATCGTTCGTAGAACATTAGACATGATTTTCTAAAAGGGAACTGACGGGTCATTACTGTAGACCAGCTCGTAGAAAAAATAAAACATTCTAATTTCTAACGATCACCCATATGCAAATTTTGGGTATATTTTGCGCTAGGTAAACAACACTTTAACATCAATTGTTTTACTTTCAAAAACTAAACAGCCAGTTGCAAAAAAAAAAAAGATTTAAAAACGGCCGGACCTTTTGAATACATAATTCATAATAAGAAAACACCCAGACAAATTATTCTTCAATTTGCACATTCAAAAGACGGTTGGTTGTCAAAATGTCACCCTCCGCGCTGGAAAGTTCCCGAAAAGAGACAATAGCCTCTAGAAAATAGCCGCCCACGAACCGACCGACCGTTTTGTGGGGTCTGTTTTGAAAAGCAACAAAACTCTATCCATTTTACAGTCGTTTCATTCTTCCTTATTTCTTTTTTATACGGCGATTACCGAAGAAAATGAAGCTAATAATAAGGCATTTGTCGCACAAGAATCAGCTTCCGCCACCTCTTTTCCGTTTTTTTCTGAAGGAAGACAAGATTCTTTTCTTGTTCTTGCCCGGAAGATATGAAAACAAATGCTTGGTTTTTCCTTCGCTGCTCATCGAAAAAAGTCAAGAAAAACGGTGTATTTTCACGCGCTCGGAACGCAACCGTTTTTTTTCGGGAGGAATTTTCGTGGCAGACCACATTTTTTAGTGCTTGCTTTTTTATGGTGTGTGCTACTGTTGCTAATGGTGTCGCCAAACATGGAGGAGCTGCTTTTGCGGTTCGACGCTCGTTGATTTTTATATTACTATCTGCTGTCGTTCAAGAGTTGCCCTCCGGCTGAATGAGTGCCGACCGGACGACGGTCCAGGACGATATCTTCGGTGGCGGCATTGAGCAAATCCATTTTTGGTCGGTTGACGCTTACTGTTTGCTCCTGGGCGAGTTTACAATTTCACAAGTCTAATTATCGTGAATAATTAACTTGACGGTTAACGGTTATGTTAATACAATATTTACAACTTATTGACACATTGCATTGGCATGTATTTTTGTTGAGCTTTTTTTGATTCTGTAATATTTGTGTTCTCCTTTGAATAGAAGACACAGAAACCAAATAAAATAGATTTATACAAACGAAGCTATGATGTGCATACAAATTCTAAAATGGCTACTGCAACATAGCTCTTATCACCGCAGTTATACTCCATGCGCTTCTACTTTGGTTCGCACACTTAAACGTCTTCCATGTACCTATCTAATGTGCAGATGGGGCGGGACTTTCAAGATTTCATTGTTGATCATTATTTCTTATGTACTAGTTTTGCAGTAAACGCTTTTGTATTTACAAAAAAATGCCACCGTTCTAGTTCTAGCTGCCGAGCTTTCATGTGCATATAACTAATGACACGAAACTAACGGTGGAACGGTGAATGGATAAAATTGTATTACCAGTCCTGCTTAAGAGATCTCTCAAATGTTAGGATGTCATATGATTAAATAATATCGATTTTAGTAAAACATGAAAACCAATAAAATCTAATCTACCTTTCCATTGTTGTGTTGTTTACAATGATTCTTAAAACGAATGTTAGTTAAAGGGGCCATATACTCGCGGCGTATCCGACATCAATTTATAAACAGGAATGCAATCTAGCTGGAAACATATCAACGCTCTAGGATTGTATCCAATTTAGATGACATCTATAGCAAAGTTTCTTGACTTTTATAATGTCCTAACTATGCTTTGGAGGCTAAAAATAGTTCAATTTTTAGCCGCTAAGATGGCGCAGCGCTAGAAGATTTGTTGTCTTGCGTAAAGCTGTAGAACGTGAAATTTTATGAAAACTTGCTCAAGACATCAAAGCTGTTCGTCTTCAAACAACAATTTTACAATTGTAAAATTTGTCTGAAATTTCCGATTTTATTATTATGTTCTATTTTTTTTCTTTTCCATCGATCTTGATTTCCGTGCTCAGCACCAATGCTATCGACGCCAGGGAGGTAGCTCCCACACCTGGACCCTACCTATCGACCCATCAACTCATGAACCGGGGACCAACGGCTTTACTTCCTTCAGAAAGAGGGCGTGATCAGAGATGTTATGCCTCAGAACATCCCGGCGATGCCGACTGGGATTGAACCCAGGCCTGCTGGAGTGAGAGGTAATCACGCTTACCACTACACCACCGGCGCCGCTATTATTTTGATCTATAAATTCTTTCAAATCAAGAATTTAATAATTTGTCGACAATCGGTTATGGTTCAGTCAATCTTTTCCAGAACAATACTTTTATTTCTAGAAAACTTAAAAATAAATATCACATGAAATTTAATAAAAATTATTTACTGAATGTTTTTTGTTTTCAGTTATTCAAAATGAAGATTAAATAGACTATCATTCCTCAAAATATCTCAACGGTATATTGAGAAATACACTGGAGTCGCTTTTTATGCGGTTTTTTTTCACACGGTTTTTTTTTTACTCGGTTTTTTTTACGCGGATTTCGGAATTTACACGGTTTTTTTTACGCGTATTTCGGAAATTACGCGGTTTTTTTTACGCGGGACGTATCCCGTATCACCCGCGTAAAAAGCGACTCCAGTGTATTGGGATAAAGGGTTATACGGTCAAAATTTGGTCAATATCAACTTGACGTATTTCTTTCAATTTTGCATTTAAAAAACCTGAACACCCCTCATTTTGAAGGTGTGTGTGTGTAGAATGTTGCTCCTATTTTGATTTTGGAATTCACTCTTCAGTTGTCAAAATGCCGTCCAAGCAAGAAGAGCAGCGTATCAAAATTTTGCTCGCGCATCGCGAAAATCCGAGCTACTCGCACGCAAAGTTGGCTAAAAGTTGCCAAATCAACCGTTACAAATGTAATTAAAGTGTTTGGGGAACGTTTGTCGACAGCCAGGAAGTCTGGATCGGGGGGAAATCGAAAACCGGAAGCCGCTGAGACGACAAAGAGAGTTGCCGGTAGTTTCAAGCGAAACCCTAACCTCTCTCTCCGAGATGCCGCAAATAAGCTGGGTGTATCGTCTACAACCGTGCATCGAGCCAAAAAACGAGCCGGACTATCGACTTACAAGAAGGTAGTGACTCCAAATCGCGATGATAAACAAAATACGACGGCCAAAGCGCGATCCCGGAGGCTGTACACGACGATGCTGACGAAGTTTGACTGCGTGGTAATGGACGACGAAACCTACGTCAAAGCCGACTACAAGCAGCTTCCGGGACAGGAGTTTTATACGGCAAAAGGAAGCTTCATATAGCATAGCTTCCGGGACTGTCAACCAAGAAATTTACGTGAAAGAGTGTTTGAATAAACGTCTGCTGCCTTTCCTGAAGAAACACGGTTGTTCCGTACTGTTTTGGCCGGATTTGGCATCTTGCCATTACGGTAAAAAGGCCATGGAGTGGTACGCCGCCAACAACGTGCAGGTGGTTCCCAAGGACAAGAACCCTCCCAACACGCCAGAGCTCCGCCCAATTGAGAAATACTGGGCTATTGTCAAGCGGAACCTAAAGAAGACCAAAAAAACTGCTAAGGGCGAGCAGCAGTTCAAGGCAAACTGGCTTTCTGCGGCGAAGAAGGTGGACAAGGTGGCTGTACAAAATCTGATGGCAGGGGTCAAGCGTAAGGCCCGGCAATTCGGATTTGGAAAAGCGGAAGCCTAACTGAATATTTTTCCTGAATTTTATACTAATTGAACTTGAAAAAGAAATTTAATTTGATTTTTTAAATAAACGATTTCACCGATTTACACGCGTTTTCCCTTGACCAAATTTTGACCGTATCACCCTTTATTAGCAATCAATCAATTTTATTTAAACAATCATAGTATTCTTTTATGCACATCTAGGTGGGTCAAGTTTATATGGTGGATCACAACGCCCTGGTCTCCACTGAATTTTTGATGTGTATTGGTTGTATCAGCCTCTGAGGGCTGGGGCTACTGGGTTTATTTCACACTTGGGCCCTACATGAGTTGGAGTTAGATGGTTTCAATCAGCCTAGTAAGTAACAAGAAAAGATTGTAAAGTTTGTGTTTGATACATAAAACCTGCAAATTTAGTTTAAACTGAGTCACAGTGGGTGAGATAAATGACAAAATCGCTTGTTGTGACTTTCATGTGGCAAAATTGGCAGGTAATATGTGGAACTCAAACTTCACAATCTTTTCTTATTGCTTACTTAAACAACATTACAATTACAATGGTGTAATATCTTATTATTCCATAATTTCATAAAATGTATATTAAATGTTTTTAGACTCTTTTTACTTCATTAATTCGAAATCGAAAACTAAAAGATATACTAAATTGTCTCGCGAGAATTGTATTAGATACTTCCCAACAAACATTTTGGCAAAAAATTGCTTCTTCAGCAAAAAAAAGTGTATTCAGCTATTAATCAGCTCAATGTGGCTCATATGTGGCCAAAATAGAGCCAAAAAAATGGAACCCACCAGGAACCACACTTTCGTTACTTAAAATTGCAGCAAATTGATTGTGACTGAAATAAGTCGCACATAATGGTTACCACATTTGCGTCAAGTGTGCTACTAGGGTTATTTTTGCCACAGTTTGAAATATTTATAAACTAGCTCTCTGTATGTATAAAATCACGATAATTCGATTGGTGATGGTTTCATTGATGGCAGATGACGGTTAGTGATCT